AGTTTTTCCAGCCATGAGCAAACAGCAAAGCAGGGCATGCAGACAGCCTGCATGGCTCATGAAATGAAGCTCCACTTCTACAAATGAGGCTTTCCTGCAATCTGATCAGCCTCATGTGTTATCATGGAATCCCAGAATCAGAGAATGGATTGGGTTGGAACGGACCTTAAAACCCTCCCAGCCCCAGCTCCTGCTGTGGGCTGGTTGCCTCCCATCAGATGAGGCAGCCCAGGACTCCATTGAGAGGGGGAGCTCGAATGCTTCCAGGGATGTGGCAATAACCCTTTGCTTACCTGTGCACCTCCACTGCAACAGACTTTTACAGAAAAACACACAGCCATAATGCTGACAGATTCTGGGTGCATCTTCTGATGCTGGAACATCAGCAGCCACATGCTTTGATTTATTAGTGCTATACTCAATGTGGTTTAGCTCCAGGTCGATGCATCTCTGCCTGGGTGCAGCCAACTGAGTGCTGCTCTCAAGGGGCAGAAGAGATGTGGGTACCCAGTTTGGAAGGAGAGAAGGACACAGTACTGGTGCTGCCAGCTGGCCCTCGTACCCGGCAGTAGCCACTGCCATATTTAACTTGCTGCTCTTGAAATAGCCTCAAGTTTACATGGCCACGGGAAAGGATTGGCCAAACTCATGGGGGAAAAATCCATCAAAAAGGCTTTTAGACAAAAACAATCCCTATATCACAGATCGCTGGACACGAGGAGGAAAATATTTGCACACACTGACCCTACACCAGCGGGAGCACCAGACTAACTCCATGCACCTTCACACCGGTGGCTGAGGGCGTGGGTGCACAATCAGTGCAATTTTTCACTCCAAATCAACTCCCAGAGAAGACTGGGCAGAGAGCCACCTCATGGAGTCAGTGCCCATTGTGGGCTGCTCACACCTGCCTGCTGCTCCGTTCTGAGCTGGAGAAACACAGAGGAACATGTCACACTGTAAGGTTGTTGCCTCCTTTGTTTCTTCATCATGGATGGGTGAAAAAGAAAAAAAAAACCAAAACGTTACACATACACACAAAAAAGAAGCATACTGCAGTCCGATCCTCCAGTTGCAGCTGGAGCCCAGCTGGGAGGAAAGGGACTTCTAAGGCAGAGAGAAGGGAGGCTCTGATTATTTATTAGTGGCTGATGTTTGATCGCTCGCTAATCAGGACACAGAACACACTCGGGCTCTCTCGGCCTCCCCTCTCACATGTGGTTTCTGTTGCTTTGCCCTGTCCCTCCCTGCCCCCCCCAACCCATTCTGGTTTTGTTTTGTTTGTTTTTCTGTTAATTTGGTTGTTTTTCCATGTCGTTTTCTGTCAAACCGCATGTTTTTTCCCTTTCTCTTGCCAGCCACTGCAGTGACAGACATGGGAGGAAGCAAGCCAGCCTGGAGCCTGCCCACCTCCCATTGCTGCAGGTAGGATCTGGGCAGGCACGTGGCCTCACATCCCCATCCCACAGCCAACATCCCCACTTGAATCCCTGCCATAGGGAATTTGTCAGCAATGGGGCAAGCAGGGCGCTCCAGCATCCCAGGACAGAGGGGCCAGAGGACTGCAGACTCCATCAGGCAGGGCATGGAGACAAGCAGGTTAGATGGGAGAGAAAGGATGGACGCCCACCCGGCTGCTGCCTCCCTCCCCTGTCTGCACACAAGGCCTCCCCACTCCCATGTGCACTCTCCAGCTTCTGGCAGCCTCTCCACCGTGCGTTTCCACTCCTCTCTGGCCCATTAGCAGTATTTTTATAACATTCTGTAATGCACGGAGCCGTGTGCCAAACCTCAAGAGCGCATTATTTCCCAACGTCTTTGTTACAGCCATCCACGGGCCCTCAGGCCATGTATTTCCAAATGCTGCAGCTCATGGAGGTAGCCGGGAGCTTGGTACCCAGAGCCCTGCAAAGCCCACAGCTCCATTGCCCACTGCTTCCAACCCATGCTCAGATACTCACCAATCTCCAGGCTATGGGGAAGACTATGGGAGATATGAACTGCGGTTGCCCTCCTATGGCTCACCCCACGCTCAGTTGTCACCACTTGATGAAAGGCTGAAAAGCTACACATTGCTGCCCAAAGCCCTCTGGAAGAAGCTGTCCCAGAGAAGTGCCACTGTCCCCTCACGTGTTGTGTGCACAGCAGACGGGACTCCCACATATAAATACGGCTTTTGCTCCTTTCTGCTCTTCCAATTGGGCTCTCCATGTCTCAGTCACTCCATCCCTGGACACACACTGCCCGCACCGCCTATGTGCCAGCATCTCTGTCTCTGCAGCTATGGGACAGGCAGGCTACCTCAAGCCATCTGCACTCTGCTGGGTGCTGCAGAGCTCTCTGCCACACCCCCATGAGTTGCACCTAGATATCAAATCCCATCCTTAAGACCAGATTGTGAAAGCACATCAGTGTGCCACCTTCATGTGCTTTGTGCCTTTTGCCCCACTTGCATTCTGGCCCTTCCAGCAAGCAGCTCTCACCCCAGAAGCCACAGGGTCATCCCAAAGCCACGTCCCACCTGAATTCCCTCATCGTCCTGGTTCAGAGCCACTATGTAAAACAGAGCAGCACAGTCCGAAGGCTGATGCTGTAGTTCCCCATCCTTCCTAGCAGCTCCCCTTTCAGCACAATCTGATCCCCTTTAGCCATTTCCTAAGCCATGTTCCAACTCCCATACTAATCCACATTTTCTCTGGTTTAACTCATAATTTCCCATGTGGCATCATAACAAAATACTTCACTGAAGTCAAGATAGATTACATCGGCTGCATTTCTGGGCCTAGGAAATCAGTTCCCTTATCAAAGAGAGCTATCAGGTTAATCTGCCATGATGTATTGTTGGCAAGCCTCCGTATTATTTTCTCCCATTTTCCATTTGTCTCCATATCTGTAATTGTGCTTTCTCCTGAGTGCACCCTGTGACACTGAAGTTGGGATTTTTCTTTTCCCAAGCACAGGAGACATGCTGCCTTTCCCTGTATCCCCATTGGGTTCCACCAATGACAGCCTCCGACCTTAATGAACCTGGCTAATGACCATCTTTAGGTTTTCTCCTCCCCTTTTTTCCCAGCATTGCTCAGGACCACATTCTACCTCTGTTACCGCTAAGCTCCCCTCCAGCCTCCCTGCACAGCTCATTTCTCTCCTTGCTCTCTCTTTATTCATATAGCTAACACTGCTTTAATTTTGCTGCTCTGCCCTGCTAAAGACATGAAAATGCAGCCACAGGCCTGTTTTCACTTAACTTCCCATCCAATTTAAACGAGTCCAAGATTCTACAAATCACAGGTTCTCCTCTGTGGTCCTTGCAGGCACTCACTCCATATGCCCAGCTGAATGCAGCAAACATCCCCACAATTACAAGCTACCACGGGGATGCTGCAAACCATGTGTATCTCCTCCAAGGATGCTCCCAAACCTGCTCTCCATAGCACTCTGCATACCTTGGGGTACCAACTGGCCCTGGCGAGGGCAGGAAAGGGGAGCAGGGAGGGGCTGAGGGCAGCAGGGGTGCTGGGAAAAGAAACTTCAGAGAGAACATTAAATTAAATCCAGGCAATTAAATTAATTACCGCTAAAAGGGTCTCATCTGATTAGTTCCTTGCATACTTAATTGCATTAGAACACCGGGCACTCATTTATTTATTGCTCGTGGCCCCTGTGGTGTCTAAGCGTGCCCTTTGGCTGCCCAGTGCCCAGCAGGGCCAGGAGTGGGCAGCAGGCAGGAACAAATCGTAATTGGAAACAGTGGGATTTCAGCTGTAACGCTGTGCAGTTCCCCTGGGTCCCAGAGCAGACTGAGAGGGCTTACTATTAGCTGAGGCGCTGAGCAGAGGTAAGAGTCATTGCAGAGTCTCAGTGATGCCACAGCTACAGAGATGTTTGGAGACAATGTTCCCCTCGTTAGCTCTACATTTGGGCTGCAGGCCCTGCTTGGAATACCAGGTGTTGCTGGCCCCCTGACCAATAGTCCTGGACCACCGCCTCAGCCCAGTAACATGGTCAAGAGGTCTCTGGCCACACACTTGCCTGCTACATGCTATTAATTACCATCCTCTCTGCTTCCACTTGCCCACTTGCCTGCTTCTTTCTTTGATGTCCAGCTCCTTCCAGCATCCTTAGACTGTGTGCCAGCATCCCTCCCATTAGACACCAGTACCACAAGGTCAGCACCATGCAGCATTCCCAAAACTTGGACCTACTAACACAAAGGGCCATTTTTGCCCAATTTGCAGGGCTTATGCATGATACAGGTAACCCTTCTGCCTGGCTCATGTGGCAGAGATGGCAGAGATGCACCTGCAAGGTGCTAAAGAAGCAATCTCCCACCCATGGGAACAGCCACCTACAAAGCATATATTTGGGGTCTTACAACTGGTACCTTTCAGCATCCCCTACAGCAGCCTCCACCCTGCCACCAGACATGCCAAACACTGCTCCCAGGTACCGCCAGCTCTCAGTTGCAACTGCGAAAACCACAGCTGCTATCAGCTGTACAAACACTGCAGCCTGCAAAACACACAGCTGCTGTCAGCTATCAGCTATCAGCATGGTGTGAAATACAGCACAGCTCTTATCTCCTGCAGTAAGATCTGTGAATCAGCACATCTCCCACTTAAAATATGCAAAATCCTGTGAAACATACAGCTGTCCCCTACCACAGCCATGTACAGACCCTTTCCACCCTCAGACAATGCTCCTTCTGCTGTACCATGGCACTGGGCTGGCTGGTGAAGCAGCATCCCTCCCAGAATTATTCCATGGGCATCATTATCAGTTTTGACTCAAAGTCTGGAGCAGGAGAGGCTGATTCCAGCATCCTGCTGTTATGATTCATACACCACTGGTAGGCTGTGTTGCAGGGTGCAGCAGAAAACCATACACATGGACAGTATTGGGTTTGGCACGAATGGAGGGTGCAGTGAGGGGTCAGTGTAGGAGCCAGTGGTGTGGCTGTGTCCTCTGTTCCCCACAACGTCACACAGCAGCGTGCTCACCTCCCACCCTAAGGAAGGTCTGGTACTTGAGATGCCAGGAAGAGCCCTCGTAGCATGAGTACTGGCCGTTCTGAGTCAGGTCCACTTTCTTCAGGATCAGGTACGACCCGTTCAGGTGGGAGTCATCAATGTCAGTGCCATTGACCGTCCAGGTCACAGCTGCATCCCAGTCCATGGAGCCACACTTCATGGTCACGTCGGCACCTACCCGCTCATACTGGATGTGGATGTCTGTGGAGGAGAAAAGCAGGTGAGATCAGAGCCTGTGGGCTACCTTGGAAACAGGATCTTACCATGACGAGTAAGCATGGGAAGGACAGGAGCATGAGCTGACAAAATGGTCAGGGAAGTTCACATTCTCCCTCTGGTCTGGATAATAATTTATTTTGACCTTACACCAGAGTACTGGAGTGAGTCAGCTGGTAAGGACCAATGAACTGGGACTCAAGGATCACATCTATCTCACAGAATCACACAATGGTTAAAGTTGGGAAAGATCTCTCAGATGACTTAGTTCAACCCATTACCACCATGTCCACTAACCATGACCCTCAGCGACATATTTACACATTTCCTGAACACATCCAGGGTCAGTGACTCCATCACCTCCTAGGACCGCCTGCTGCAATTCATCACAAAACTTTTGAGAAGAAATTTTCCTAGTATGCAACCTGAACCTCATCTGGCACAACTGAAGGCCAATCCCCTTCATCTTATCACTGTTACCTGGGAGAAGAGGCTGACCCCACTTTGCCACAGCCTCCTTTCAGGGAGTTGCAGAGAGTGATAAGGTCTTCCCTGAACCTCCTCTTCTCCAGACTGAACAATATCAGCTCCCTCAACTGTTCCTCATAAGACCTGTGCTCCAAACCCTTCTTTGGATAGGCTCCAGAGCCTCAAAGTCATTCTTATACTGAGAGATCTAAAGCCAAATGCAGTACTCAAGGTGTGGTCTCATCAGTGCTGAGGATCATAGGATGCTTTCCTCCCATCTCTACCTAGGAGAGGGCATAACAGGGCCACCTGTGTGGCCCACTGGCCAAATGACCCACAGCACATCCAGCTGTTTGTGTCAACAAGTCACTAACACTCCTGCACCCTCTTATCTCATTGCAAGACACAGGCCAAATGCACACATCAGAAATTCCCAGGGGAGAGAGGTGACAGAGCCCCAAGACTTGTCATTAGCAAGCTTTGAGTTATTTACTAGCGGAAGTGGGAAGTGGATGCTGCCTTCAGTTCCTGGCCTAGCAAATGAGGTGGGAGGATTTCAGTTTACCTGTGCCATGCCTTGGAAGGGGGCAGCTGCTTGGCACATGTTATGCTGTTTATCTCCCTGCCTCTTCTTTATTTTTTTCTCTCTCTACAATAACACGATGCCTTGCTGAGCTGTTTGATTTAGCATCTCATGAGTGTAGCAACACAGCTCATTGGGCACCAGCTGCCTAATTGAATTTTCTCAGGTTTCTGGACAGGAGTTCGAGCCGACATTCATTAATGATACTTGGCAATTGAATCTTTCCTATGCTGCTACACGGGTTGTTCTCTAAGCTGTATGTGGCAACGATGAAAACATTTTTGTGAATGTATCATATGGGATGAAGCAGGATGGGAATTGAGCAGGATGTGAACATCTCCTTCCAGGTTTCATCAGTTTGTTCAGGTCTCAAAATAGTCCTGGGTTTCCAAATCACTTTTGACAAGGTGCCCCACTCAGGTTCTCTGGGAAACTGAGTATCCCTGAACTCAAGGAGAGTCCTCGCAAGGATTTATTGCAGCTAAAGGTCAGGAGACCAAAGGTGAGAAGAAGCGGTCAGGCTTGGCCGAGGAAGACGTCACCAGTGAGCTGTGACAGAGCTCAGTGCAGGACCCGGGCTGCCCAGCTCACTCATAACTCATGGGCCAAGGCAGTGTGAGCAGACAGTTGAGGCTGTCAGGGCAGCAAAGTTAAAGCTGGGGGCAAAAGCATCCCAAGGGGCATCACAGTATGCGTTGTGTCGATGAACGCACAAGGAAGCAGATGTTCCCACCCAGTCATGGCTCCAAATTAGCTTCAGCAGCCTCCATGGAAACGTATCTTGGAGTGATCGCGTTCCTGACAACATCAGCTCAGTGGCAATCAAAGACGCAAATGCAATGTTAAGAATTATTAAGAACGGGATTGAGAATGGGAAGTAGTGTACCATAGAAGCAGCACACAAATCTGAGCCTGCACCATTAAGATGAAAATGGAGCAGAGGAAGGAAATGTGAGAGAACAAAGGTTGAAAGCAACCTCTGTTTAAGGGATGGCTTGACAGACTCAATCTCTTCATCCCTGCAATCAGGGTTGGAGGCGTGATAGACACCTGAGCTACACTGAATGACATGAGGAGGATGAATAGAGAAGGACCGCCGGCTCTTTCTCCTAATAAGATAATTAAAGGGCAGCAAATGAAAGTAAGAAAGAGATTTTTTTCACACAAGGCGCGATTAAATTAGAGAAACCCACATCCATCTGTTGCTATGAATGTCAAAATTGAGGGGAAAACAGCGATTAAATGAATCCATAGCAGAGGACTCCACCACGGTGGAGATGCACCAGTGAGGCTGATGGTAGCTAACAGTGGGGAGGGATGAGAGAAGCACTCCAGCACTTGTTCTACTCCTTTCTCTCCAGATATCAGCTCTTGTGTCCTGCTGGCAGGTGGAACAGGGGCTACACAGACCTGTAGTTTGTTTCGAGCACCTTAAAAAGCATACTGATAGGCAGAAAGAAGGAAAAACATCCCAGCCAAGGAGACTATAGGAGATTGTGTGAGGAGCAATAGCTGGAGTGGGCACAGAAAAATGGGCTGATTGACAGAAGCGTGGAAGGAGATGGATGGGTGGGCTGATGAACGAGTGTGTGCTTGCAGACAGATGGATAGCTGGCTGGATGGGCGCAGCTGGGATGGAGGGAAGCGTATGAAGAAGAAATGATGGATGACTCTGTAAGTGGATGGATGGATGAGCGTATGTGGGGATGCAGAGATGTAAGAGGATTGAGGTCTAAGCATGTAAGCATCTGGCTGGCTGGCTGTGTGTGAGGATGGAGGGGTGAATGGACAGATGGGTGGGTGAATGCTTGGGTGGGCAGTTGGAAGGAGGGAGAAAAGAATCAATGAACGGCAGTGGGTGTGGGTGTATGGCTGGCTGTTCAAATGGCTGGGTAGATGGATGGATGGACAGATGACTAGGCAGATGGGCAGATGCATATAGATCACAGACCTCCAGCATGAGGTCTTACTCAGTTTCTCCTCTATTATTTTCTTATGCACAAAGAAAAGACATTTTGCTTTTCCCTTTCCTGCTGGCTCACAAAAGGCCATTAGTTCTTCTGTCCTCACACCCAGAGACCTGCTGGGCAGAGGCAGATGCTGAGAGATGCAGCATCACCCACCAGCCCTACAGGAAGAAAAGCTCATTGTAGCAATGGGCCAACAAAGCTGCCTAACTGGTGCCTAGGAGAAAGAGTTGGGTCAGAATAAAGCCCTGGGGTTCCCAGCCCTGCTTCTTGGGACAGTGAATGAGCACTTGTCTGCAGATGGGGATTTCAGGACTAGGCTGGGAAGGGGGGTAAATGCAACTTGAATTATTTCCTATTTGTTCTTAAACACAGCACAAACACGCTGGCATGCATTCAGAAAGGCTGGGGGAGCCTTTCCTGGAAGACAGGTCTTTGAAAGCAACACTCCTTCCCAGGGCAATGATTTAAGGCTCCTGACGAAGAAGAAATCCAAAGCACAGTAACAGAGGCAGTTCTCTCAGACAGGTTTACAGAGCTGCTCATTGGAGCTGATCCAGGCCCCGAGATCCCTCCTGTCCCAGCTCACCCAGCCTCATCACCATGCGTGACACCCTGCTGGCAAGTATCACCTCCTTTTTTCTATCTTGTGCTGCAGACATCAGTACTGTTTTTGGATGAGAACAGTGAGGGCAATCAGAGCCTTTCCAGGGAGACTCCAATTCCTAGGAGGCTAGGCATGGGCAGGATCCCACCTGAGGGATCCAAAGCATTTTTTTGGGGGACAGACACAAGTGTTCTGCACTCACTGCACTCTTTTGTGCATGGTCTTTGGCTCTGGCCCTGCGGATGGGAAAACTGAGGCAGTGAGAGAAGGACATGTCCACGTATGTAAGATGTGGAGAACTTCTGCAGTGGGATGGAAAAACACATCTGCGCCTTAGGACAGAGTTATCTATCCTAAGGTGTCTATCACTCCATTAGCCTACGTACCTCCCATCCAGAGCTGTGTGCAAGCCGTGAGTAATAATCCGAGCGGATAATTAGATCTCTGTGTATATATTCATAAATTATACATTTAATATTTACAAGGTGCTTGGGGTATGCTGAGAGCTTTCCAAGCAGATGAAGCAGCAACTTCCCACTGTAAATGAGACAAGTAAAACAATGGGATCAGTGGGATGTCTCTGGCTTCCAGTGGTCTTTGGATGTGCAGTGGCACAACCCTGTGCCCTCTCTCTTGGTCCAGCACCTTGTTGGCTAGTCAGCATATCACCAACTATGCTCAGGGATGCAGGTGGCTCTGCTCCAATCTGCAGCTTCATGGCCCCTTCCTGTTGTGATGAAACATCCACCTGCACTGGAAAGGGTTTCCCTACACCACGTCCCCAAAGCACATCCTACCCTCATCTCCTCACACCTGTTCCCTTCGGTGCTGCTTGGTCTTTGCACAGCTTCATTGCCAGCAGAAACCTTCCCTGTCAAAGGAAGGAATTTCATGCTTAAGGAGGCAATTCTTCCACTAGTGATTTAAAACTAAATACATCTTTGTAAGGAAACAGGCATAATTAAGTGTCATTGATGTAGCCAAAGATATGGACCGTTCCAAGTTAATTTTGTCCATTAATGAAGAACTGCAGCAAGCAGAATCCGCATTTGTTTGCTCTACTTTGGTAAATCCCTGGAGTCAGCAGCTTTGCTTTCTTGACAAGAAAAAATAATTAGCAAGAAACTTTAATTAAGAGATAACAGATGGGTGCTAAAGGACTTGTACTCAATCACTTCTCGATAGCCTGGAAGCAGATCTCTGGAAGCAGGTTTGCTTTAGGGGCACTGCAAATGAGCCATTTTCCCTCTCCTTCCACCATGGTCAGCTCCAGCACCCTGATCTCACTGAGGATGTCCCTGTTCACTGCATGCAAGTTGGATCAGATGGCCTTTAAACGTCCTTTCTAACTCAAGCAACC